GATGAACCTAGCGTGGATCTATGGCACAAGTGCCTCGGCCACATGAGCGAAAGGGCTCCAGATGAACAAGAAAGGATTACTGACCGGGTTGAAAGGCCAAGCGCTGGAGAGTTTCACGCATTGCCTAGCTGGAAAGTAGCACTGTGTTTCTTTTGTGAGACCGGATCAACCCAGAAGACGAAGGTATATTCTTGACCTCGTCCATATTGATGTCTGCTCCATGTCGGAAAGATCCCTTGGAGGAGCTTAGTACTTTGTTTCGTTTATTGATGACCATTCCCGCAAAGTGTGGGTATATTTGTTGAAGTCTAAAGACCAGGGACTCCAATCCTTTAAAGAGTTTCATGCAATGGTTGAAAGGGAGACTGGCAAGAAATTGAAGGTGGTCCGATCTGACAATGGTGGTGAGTATTGCAGCCCATTTGATGCATATTGCAGAGCGATCGGGATTCGACTTGAGAAGACGCCCCCCAAGACTCCACAGTTGAATGGACTTGCTGAGAGGATGAACCGGACTATTGAAGAGAATGTCTGAAGTATGCTATCCAATGCCGGATTGTCGAATTCATTCTGGGGAGAAGCCGTAAGAACTGTTGTTGACTTGATCAACCTCTCACCATCACAGCCACTTGAAGGAGAAATTCCAGAAGAAGTTTGGACAGGTCGGAAAGCGGCCTATAATCAACTGAAAGTGTTTGGATGCCGAGCTTTCGTGCATATCCCTAAAGATGAAAGGGCAAAACTCAATTCGAAGACAAAAGAATGCATCTATCTTGGTTCGCCGAGGTGTGAGTTCAGGTTCTGACTTTGGGATCCAATCAATAAAAAGATAGTGAGAAGCCGAGATGTGATCTTTCATGAAGATGAGAACATTCATGACATCTCGAAGCCCAAAGTCCGAGTTGCTGTCTGACGTGAAGAACCCATCCCTCCTGACTGAGCTGAAGCAGGGGGAGAAAATCATAAAAATGAAGAAATTGATGACCAGTAACCAGCTGAGGATGACCAAGACATTGAGGTCCGAGTTGATGATGAGATCCAAGATGAGAATGATGAACCGGGTTCTCAAGCTGAAGAACAGCCAAGATATCCAACTCGAGAAAGAAGACCCTCTATAAGATACCCATCTGATGAATACACCGCTGTTGCTGAAGACGGTGAGCCTCAGAGTTATGATGAGGCTGTAACGAGCTCAGAGAAAGGAATGGAAAAAGGCAACGCAAGAAGAGATGAAGTCTCTGCACGAGAATCAGACTTATGAGCTGACCGAGTTTCCTGAAGGAAAACGAGCTCTGAAAAATAAATGGGTCTACAAGATTAAGAATGAAGAGAACGGGAAGAAGCCAAGATACAAAGCCCGGATTGTGGTGAAAGGCTGCAATCAGAAGAAGGGAGTAGGCTTTGAGGAGATTTTTTCTCCTGTGGTGAAAATGACCTCGGTCTGAATCGTGTTAGCCATGGCGGCTTCGATGGACCTCGAGGTAGAAAAAATGGACGTGAAGACGGCATTTCTTCACGGTGATTTAGAAGAAGAGATATATATGGAGCAACCTGAGGGGTTTTGAGCTCCAGACCAAGAAGACTTGGTATGTCGGTTGAAGAAGAGCCTCTATGGCTTGAAGCAAGCACCTCGACAGTGGTATAAGAAGTTCGAATCATTCATAACTAATCACAAGTTTGAGAAGACAGAAGCCGACCACTGCGTATTTGTGAAGAGGTATGAGGCCAGAGATTTTTTGATCTTGTTGTTATATGTTGACGACATGCTTATTGTAGGGAAAGACAAATCGTTCAGGGGCGTTGAACTCGTCCTTCGTAATGAAGGACCTCGGCCCTGCAAAGCAGATACTCGAAATCAATATTATCCGAGATAGACAAAAGAAACTACTGTGGCTGAGTCAAGAGAAGTATATTGAGAAGATTCTGAAGAGATTCAACATGGATAAAGCCAAAACAGTGAGCACCCCCTAGCCGGACACATAAAGCTGAACCAGAAGCAATGTCCGAGATATGATGAAGACAAAGATGAGATGATGAAGGTCCCGTACCAGTCCACTGTCGGAAGCTTGATGTATGTAATGGTTTGCACTAGACCCGACTTGGCGTATGCTGTTGGAATGGTAAGCCGGTATCTGTCAAACCCCGGCAAAGAGCACTGGAAAGCAGTGAAGTGGATCTTCAAGTACCTCCGAGGTACGACCAACTTATGCCTCCGATTTGGACAAGGCAAAGTCGAGTTGCAAGGCTACTCGGATTCTGATTTACGGGGAGATTCCGACTCGAGGAAATCGACGACGGGATACATGATGAGATTTGTCGGAGGAGCTGTCTCTTGGCAATCAAGACTTCAGAAATTGTTGCACTATCGACAACTGAGGCTGAGTACATTGCCGCTACTGAGGCAAGCAAAGAGATGCTGTGGATGAAGAAGTTCCTCATGGAACTCGGCCATGATCAAGACAAGTACGAGCTGGGTTGTGACAATCAAAGCGCAATCCATCTTGCAAAGAATTCGACCTATCACTCCCGCACTAAGCACATTGATGTGAGGTATCATTGGATCCGGGATGTGGTGGAAGGTGGAGAGCTCAAACTCGTCAAAGTGCACACTGACCAAAATTGGTCCGACATGATGACAAGCCAGTTCCAGCAAGGAAATTTGAAGACTGCTGTGAAGGAGTCGGGTTGATGCTAAAGCCGACGCATTGAAGTCGGAAGGGGAGATTTGTTGGGCTTCCTCCTTTAATGCTAAGCCCAAGCCCATTGAGGGGTTTCCCAAAAACCCTAAACCTTAAACCCTAGATCTCACCTCTTATATATATTCATTAGTTGTGGATGGAGGCTAGGTTAGAGAGAATGAGAGAGAAAATTTGAGAGATAATTATTTGATTATTTGAGCAAGCTTAATGCTTTGCATTTGAGAGATCTCTAGAGAGAGTTTGAGTGAAACATCTCTAGGGTAGTTTGATTATCACCATTGTTGGAGAGGTTGAGTTAACCACCACATTGGTGTATTTGATTCTTTGTAACCATTATTTTCATAGTGGATTTTTGATCTGGACTAGGTCTCGTGGGTTTTTACTTCTTTATTGGAGAATGTTTTCCCACGTTAAATCTGGTTGTGTTCTCCTTCTCTCTCTCCCGTTTTGTTTTGATTTTTCCGTTGCGCTGTCCGACCTGTTGAAGTTCAGGCCGAGATATTGCCGAGATCCGAGATCAGAATCTTGCTGACTGACTTCCGCAAAGAAAGGCCCATGAGCTGAGCTTGAGGGAACCGAGTTCCCAACAGGACCCACACCTTTATTTTTTTTGTCAACTCTCTCTCCTTCTTTATCTATCTCTTTCTCTCTCTTAAAATGACACAACTTTACATCCTTTAAAATGACACATATTTTTTCCATAAAAGATTTTGATCGTTTTGCTTAATTAATTTTTGAAGAAACATAAGTGTAAATAAGTTAGGCAAGTTATTATGAGTCCAGAGTCTAATCGGGCTTGACTTGGTCCTTTTTAAACATAATACAGTCTTGAGCTTATTAAAATGATTCAATAGAAATCAAGCAACAAGCCTATTTTGGAAGGTCCGATCTCTAAGCTTGGCCTGTATTTTTTACAAATTATATTTTATTTTTTTAATAAAATAATATCTTATTATTATTTAATAAAATAATATTTTTGATTGTAACGTCACTTCAACTGTTGTACTATTTTGACTTTCCATCAATTTAAACAACATCAACAACACCTTTATCCCAAATTAATTGGGGTCGGTGGTAGATGAACCCACATGAAAGATACAAAACGGTTGAAAAAAAAGTAAAAAAAAATAAAAAAAGTAAAAAAAAAATAAAAAAAGTAAAAAAAAAATAAAAAATAAAAAATAAAAAATAAAAAATAAAAAATAAAAAATAAAAAATAAAAAATAAATAAATAAATAAATTAATAAATAAATAAAAATACACAAATAAAATAATAAAATAAAATAAAATAAAATAAAAATATATGTATATATAAATAAATAAAAGTAAAAAAGAAAGGGACAAGAAGAAGTGGGGGAAATGAAGGGGGAAAGGACTAAAAAGGGACCATCTGGAACATAGGAATAACAGCGGGTCTAACCCTCCACCATACTTATAGCTTTTCTCCATTCCTTTCTAAGACATACTGTCCGCCAATCTATATCTCACTCCATTAAATCTTGTTTTACTACTTTCCCCCAAGTAAGCTTTGGCCTAACTCCGCCCATGTGTGCTTGCATGCATGGCCTGTCCCAAGCCAGGATAAAGGAGGAGGGTTGGCGCCAGGTGTTGCGAACCGGCCATAAAAAACAGCTATATTTTTATGTGATGAACCTATATGATTTTTCCATCAATTTAAACATAAAAATAAAATAAAATAATCAATAACTTATGTTTTACAAAGTACAATATGTCATTTTTCAAGACTTATTAGATAAGATGTATTTTTTAAAAGTAAGTAAAGCCAAACTTATAATTTGACTTATATTGGGTTAATAAGTCACCTTGAAATATATTTTTTATAAGAGGGTTCAGAAGAAAGAAAAAAAAAAGTGTTAGGTAGCAACTAAACCGCGAATGGTCCATGACATTAAGGATGCTTCTCGCTTACATGGTATATGACGGGTTAGTTCAATATATAGTTTGCAGTAACTGCACTAAATTGACAATTTTAGGTGAGGGTTACCTAGATTTTCTTATTACTATACTTCAAATATGTGCTAAGCGAGCCAAGGTAAATCTTTTGATCAAGTTAATCGCTCTATGACTGTACAACATTAAGCATTATATGACCAATGCACTTTCAGGATTGAATAATATTTGGTCTCTATCCAAAGCATTTTCTTTTTCCAGTGGAAAGGAGAATTTGAGGAAGAGTGAGTGATGAATATAGTAACTTGAAGTCAATCTAAGAACAGGATATCACTTTCATTCAATAGAAACAGTAAATTTCGTATATCTAAAGGCAACATGACATCATTCCTATGACCAAACAAAGCTTAGAGGGGGCAAAAAAAATTGAGAAAATATCAAACTTGCCAAAATATGTGGGGAAAATTACAAAAAAAGAAAAGTGTAGGTATTAAAACATTTCACATGGATCCCAAAATGTTGAGGATTTGTTGAATCATGCACAAGATAGATAGACATAACATTTTGCTGTGAAGACCTTTAAACTATGCTGAGCAACATCCAACCTTTTTAACAGCTGAGACATCATCCTTACTGCCAACATTGATTGTCTGCCCCTTAGGCAAGGCTGCAGGATCATCCCCAATCTCAAGAGTCTTCCTACTAACGACGCGATAAATCTGACTCAGAACATCTGTGAAGGCATTGTCAACATTCAAGGACTCAAGGGCAGAAGTTTCCATGAAGAAAGTGTTTTCTCTTTCAGCAAATGCCTTGGCATCATCAGTGGACACGGCGCGCAAGTGACGAAGATCTGCCTTGTTTCCCACAAGCATAATAACAATGTTGGCATCTGTGTGATCCCTAAGCTCCTTTAACCATCTCTCCACATTTTCAAAAGTCACATGTCTGGTAACATCGTACACAAGCAATGCACCAACAGCTCCTCGATAGTATGCACTTGTGATTGCGCGATATCTGTGGTAAACAACAAGAATGAGACTAATATATACAGCAATATGGAATATATGCAATGCATCTAGTTATAATTACCGAGTATCATGACACACATGAAAAAACTATCTATACTTTACAAAATCAATATAGTTATAATTCAAATCTTTTTTCATGTTTTATTTAGAGTATGCCCTTATTTTAGTTTTCCATAGACACTGTTAGATATTAATATAAACCATTAAAAAGCTCCTCACCCACCAGCTTAAACTTTTGAGTTGAATTGGTTCTTTACATGGTATCAGAGTCTCGTGTCTCGAGTTCAATCCTCACCGCCCCCACTTTCTCTCGTGGAATTTTCTTAGCACAGATAGGCTTATGCATTGTCCACTCTTCAATCCCAATGGGCTCTCATGTGAGGGAGCGTGTTAGATAATAATATAAATCATTGAAAAAGCCCTCACCCACCAGCTTAAGCTTTTGGATTGAATTGGTTATTTACAAAAACAATAGTCATCCATTCAGTCTTTTAAAGAATTTTGACATCAAGATGACTCTCAATCATGAAAAATGACATCAAAATTGTCTTTCTGTTTACAGATTGAGATTGAAGGATTAAATTGATGTCATTAAATAGAGGTCATTTTATATGATTGATGGACTAAATTGAAGCTATTTTTTATGATTGAAAAACTAAATTAATGGTTTTTTTTTTGGAGGACCAAATTGTTGTCGCTTTCTATGACAAAGGAACTAAATTGGGGGACCAAAGTGATGTCACTTCTATCTTTGGGGAACTAAATTGGTGGTGGTTGTTGTTATTATATTTCATCCAGCCTGGACTAGCTCTCAACAAAAACAACATTAAATCACACTTCAAAATAGAAATAACCATCCTATCGCAACAATACACTTAAGCAGAGCTAAGACTCCGCTTCATTAAGTATTGATAAGAAATTTGAAACAATTATATTTTAGAGTTAACTGGTCACTGAATAAGTGCCAGACGTATGAACAATATAAAGCAAACCAAACTTGAGAAGTTATGCAGTCAACTTTGTTTTTCCATTTCTGGAACAACATACTACAAGGGAAAAAAAGGCAAATTGCAATTATTATTTTTTTTTAAAAAAGGATATGGAAGAAATAAACATTGGACATACACATACATTATTTCATACAAGGATAGTACCCTAAGCTTTGGCCCACTCTTCAGTAATTCAACTACAGAACTGTTGTATCCCTTCACCAGCTTCGTTGGCTTGAAACCCCCCCAAAAAAGGGAGAGAACATTCTTCATTTCATTATTTTACAAAATCACCAATCTCATCAATTGTGCAACTTGCATTATACATGCATCCACCATGTCATAAATAGGATGAAATAGCAACATTACTGGTACACTAATCAACCCCACCCCAGAAAAATGTGGTTGGTAAACAAAATTTAACACACAATCCTATGTTTGTATTCTTTTAAAAACAAGAAATCTATCTTCTCGTGACCTGATCATCCAGATCAAATACAAGAACCCCACAACCACCCAAAAAAAAATATGCATCCTGCAGCATTCATCATTGCCAAATCAAATCTAACCCATTAAAATTTAATCTAACCCCACTAAACTTTGGTCCAAACAACTTAACAAAGCATTTCCAATCAAAAAATGACCAACAATCCCAAAAAAGAAATTCCAACCTAGAGAATGATAAACTCTAAAAAAAATCCCGATTGAATGAGATCAGAGCAAAAAATCAAAACAAAAACAAAAACAAAGAAAAAGGGGTGACCTTTCTTGGCCTGCAGTGTCCCAAATTTGAGCCTTTACAATCTTTTCATCGACGTGGATACTGCGGGTGGCGAATTCAACACCAATGGTGGATTTGGATTCCAAGCTGAATTCATTTTTTGTGAATCGAGACAACAGATTGGACTTTCCAACGCCAGAGTCTCCGATCAACACCACCTTGAACAAGTAGTCGTAGTCATCGTCCGCTCTGTACGCACCCATTTTTTCCGGTGATGGTGGTTATGGACTTGATCGGAAGATCCAAATTCAATGAAATGGGTGGGTTCTTTTAATTGCTTTTAAGGCCTTCAATTTGGTGACTGCGTTTAAAGCTTGCAACTTTCAGCATTGGAGAGAGAGAGAGAGAGAGAGAGAGGATGTTGTTCTTACAGAAGGAAAAGGAGGGAGAAGCATTCAAAGCTCAAATGGTTACCTTTTTCTATCTTCAGATTGAAAACAAAATCAAGTGGTTTGTTTCTATGGTGGGTCTTTTGTGTTTTTTATTATTTTATTTTTTTTAATTGAGAAAACAAAGGGAAAACCTTCAAAAGTTGATCCTCTATTTATTTATTTATTTTTTATTTTTTTAGAGGACTATTTATGTGTTAAACTATAACATAAAATTGGGTAAAAAGAAATGCGATAGGATATTGTTACTACTAAATAATGTTACTATTAATATTACTATCATATCTTAACCGTTGATTTTCGTCAATCAACGATTATTATTTTCATAAATAAATTTTATTAATTAATTATTAATTCTCAACAAATGATAATCGTTGATTGACGTAAATCAATGGTTAAGATATGGTAGTAACATTATTTGGTAGTAATAATATCTCATTCCAAAAGAAATAGAGAAATTATATTTACTACTTTTTTATTATTATTTTTTACTATGAAATCTTAATCAATGATTTCTGTTAATCTAACGATTATAATTTATTGGGTCATACTTATTAATTCCTAATAAATTATAATTATTAGATTGACGGAAATCAACAATTAAAATTTGATAGTAAGTGAAAGTAAAAAAAAAATTGTAAGTATAATTTTTTCTAAAAAGAAAAGTTAACAATTATATAATTATATTATTTCCTTCCTAAATTGATTTATTAATTAACGAGATTATTTTAATCCATGTTTCACATTCCTCTCTTAAAAATGTGTTTGCTTTGGTTTTTATGACTCCTTTTAATGATATATATATATATATATATATATATATATATATATATATATATATATATATAGGAAAAAACTAGTCTTATGCCATAGGAGATAAGTTTATTTTCCTACAGAGACATTGATCCTTGAGCTTTTTTATTTTTTATTTTTTTATTTTATAATTATGCAGGTCCCACCACATGATTGTGAGAGTGGTAGGAGATACTTCTCTCTTGTTGATGGAGATTAATAAAGCCCATATATATATAGGCTCCTTTTAAAGGAGAAGAGTTGCAGTAGACACAATTATTGTGGGTCCCATTTGATTTAAAAAAAAAAAAAAAAAAGACTGAGCACAAGAATCAATGTGAGAGTTGTAAAAAAAAATTTAATGCAGTAAAATGAGAGGTATAAACTCCTCTATATCTATATATATATATATATATATATATATATATATATATATATATATATATATATATCAGAGCCTCTATACTTGTGCACCAGCTACAGAAGAGATTTTTTGCAGGTGAGACAAGAAAACTGGGCCCCACCATTTTAAGAGGGAAAAAAATAGCTAGTTTTTTCATGTGAGGGTGGCAGAAGTTAGCTTTTGCAGTAATTTTATAGCCATATATTATTTATACAGCTAGATTAAAAATTGTATTAGTTATACTTAATAGATTAATAAAATATACAAGGTTAGAAGTGTAATCATAAAACATTGGACCAATAAATTTTTCCTCACCAAATATCGTTATTACAAGCCAGAACAGGCAAGCATCTCGTGGGGATAGAAAACTACCGTACCTGTCATATAAATAATAATACTATCCTTTTCTTTTCTCGTTGGATTGTTAGCTTGGAATTCAAATTCTATTCTTCAATGCTGATTTATCATGAGTATCAAGAGCTTCACACTCTAGACGGAAAAAATCCCCAAGTCATTGATGTCAATGATGTGAACCCTTAAACAACTTGCAATCCCGGCTCCTCTACATCACTTGAGCAAGGTCACCATTAAGCCAATAAATGTTCAACTTGATTTAAAAATTCTATCTGCTTATTGATGATGCAAATAGAGGCTCTTGCCTCTTGAGATGCTGTCTAACATGAACAGACATTTATTAGAATATGCAATTTCCATTCTATAGGCATCCATTTTACAATATCCAATAGATATTTTCTAATATATTGCAGTTTTATTTTGCTCGTGTAAAGAAAATTATTATTTTCCTAAAAACAAGACAAATTAAAAAAATATGACACATTTGTTTACAAAGACAATATAAGCAAGCAGAGTCAATTATCGGCATTGGCACTCAAATAAGTCCCCTATCTTTGTGCGTCAATTTGTTTTCTAGACTTTTGCTTTCTGTTGCTCTTGTAACAGCAAAAAAAAAAAAAAAACATGACTCGATTCTCGACCAAAATCAGAAGAATCACAGAAAATTTCTTCAAGAACTCACGCTTGCAGTTGATTGATTTTGAAATCCTAACAAGGCTACTATATATAGTTAATATTGGAAGTTGATTTCTATGATGGATGCGCCTATCAGGCTATCACAGACAACAAACAGTGAGGACATAACAGCACTTCTCATATTATATTTAGACAGTATAAAGTGAAATTTCAAGTAAACCATTGACTCATAATTTAAAAAAAAAAAAAAAAAAAACACAAATATCCCCTTCCTGACCAGTTCATACTTATAGCTTAAACTTATAAACAAACGTCTTTTATATTACATAACAATGAGTAACTTGTTTCATTGACAATTATTAACCATTTCTTAGAAATACAAAATTGAGTTACTTTATCACTACCAAAGAATATTACATTCTGCAGTGCCTGTAATACAATACTTGAATTAATGTGGAACCGTATAAGGAAAATAATTGCTTGTGATGACTAAGCAATATCCTGAATAAAGTAATGTTACAAAATTTAATCGAGGACAAACTCCTCATTCCTTTGGCTTTTTACTCATGGCTTTACGTTTGTTAACATCGAGGTACTTTTTCCTTAACCGGATGGCCTTTGGAGTAACCTTCACGAAAAGAGAAGAAAACGTAAGAGATATGTCACTGTGAAAACAATCAAGAAATATTATTGTGGCCAAAGGAACGTTCACACAAATAAGTCGGTTATAAGCACTATCAATGCAGCACAACATGTATGTTAAATTGAAGAATCAAGAATCATTTTACCTAAAAAAAAAATTTGAAGAATCAAAAAGGAAAGATATAGATGAAATTTTCTTGGGTGTCGTGCATGAGGTGGAGGGGTACTCGGGGAAAGAGCAACCCGTACATGTTTTCATCACAAAATACCAGGGAAAATTTTTATATTAACAATGTTAGAAATATTAGAATAGGAAATATTAGATATGATTAAATTTGATTAGATTTGAATACATTACTTTCTATCTGTAAATATTCAGGGCTTCTTACTTAAGCTCATTAGGGTCTTTATATATTGTAACTCTTCGTATTAGATTAATATACAATTGAATACAATATACCTTCTTACTTTCAAGTTGGTATCAGAGCTAATATTCTGGGAAACCTCGCTTCCGCATAAAACCCTTATCTCGTCGTGCATCATACCGGCAACCCTTTTTTAGCCCTAACCCTTAATTAGTCACAAAATACTTATCCTTAGCCTTGAATAGTCAGAAACCAGCCTCTTCAACCTTGAATAGGAAGACATCAGCCTCTCTTGCTGCCGAAACCGCCGTTTGCTACTGTTCACGGTCCCCGGAGAACTTTTCCGGCGACGGTTTCAACCGAAACACCTGCGATCAGGCTCCCCTTCCTCCGACGACCGTCTCTGTAGAAGGCCCATCACTGGCGGCCATCCCACGCGCCTCCATCAGATTTGACTCTTACTGACTCACCGCCTGCTCCGGTCGACTCTTTCCCTCCGGATTCTCCATCAAAGATTACTCCCATTGCCCTTCGCAAATTCGATCCACTTGCAACCCTCATCCACTTTATAGTTTCTTGAGTTATGACAGACTTTCTTCACCACATTTTACTTTTGTTTCTAGTATTTCGTCTGTTTCTATTCCTAAAACCACAGGTGAAGCACTATCTTATCCGGGTTGGCGTCAGGCGATGATTGATGAAATGCAAGCACTTCACTCCAATAGCACCTGGGATCTTGTTCATGCTCCTCCCGGAAAGTCAGTAGTCGGCTGTCAATGGGTATTCACTGTCAAAGTTGGTCTTGATGGCACTATTGATCGCCTTAAAGCTCGTTTGGTGGCCAAAGGATACACTCAGATATTTGGTCTTGACTATGGGGATACTGTTTCTTCTGTTGCCAAGATGGCATCTGTTTGCCTATTTCTTGCACTTGCTGCCATTCATCAATGGCCTCTTCTACAGCTTGATATCAAAAATGCTTTTTACATGGTGACTTGCAAGAGGAAGTATATATAGAGCAACCGCCAGGTTTTGTTGCTCAGGGGGAGAATTCTGGAATGGTATGTAAGTTTCGTAAATCTTTATATGGCCTGAAGCAGTCCCCTCGGGCTTGGTTTAGTCGCTTTAGTTCTGCTTTTCAATCCTTTGGCTTAACCAGAAGTAAAGCCGATCATTCTGTCTTCTATAGGCATAGCTCTTCTGGTCAGTGTATCTATCTTCTAGTCTATGTTGATGACATCATTATTACTGGCAGCGATCAAGTTGGGATTGATCAGTTAAAGAAATACTTATTCAATCAGTTTCAGACCAAAGATCTTGGCAGACTTCGATATTTCTTAGGGATTGAAGTGGCACAGTCTAGGCAGGGCATTTCCATTTGTCAGAGGAAATATGCACTGGATATCCTAGATGAGACTGGTATGTTGGGATGTAAACCTATTGATACACCTATGGATCCTAATGTTAAACTGTTACCCGGACAGGGGGAGCCATTGGCAGACCCTGGTCGTTATCGCCGGTTAATTGGAAAGTTGAACTATCTTACTGTGACAAGACCAGACATCTCTTTTGCAGTTAATGTGGCAAGTCAATTCCTTGACTCTCCTTGTGACTCCCATTGGGATGCAGTTATCAGGATTCTTCGATATATCAAAAGAGCACCAGGAAGAGGTTTATTATACACAAATAAAGGGAATGCTAAGGTATCTAGCTATTCAGATGCTGATTGGGCAGGTTCTCTATAATAGCCCTAACCTAATTAATTAGCAAATTGCATGTAATTAAATAATTAAGCATGTTTTAATGAGTAAAATTAAGTATAAGGCTTAATTAAATGAATCTGAGTCACTTTGAAGTTAAAAAGTGTACTCAGTGAAAATTAAGGGGTATAAATGGGTACTGGCGAAAGTGCCCAAAATATAAAAATAAAATTGTAAATATTCCTAGAATAATATTCCAGACTTTTGGGTAAAGTTTGGTAATTAATGGAGTTGAATAGATAGACGAACCAATACCCGCCTAAAGTCACTTAACCTATGTTAAGTGACTAAAAGCCAAAATGAGCCCCATTTCCCACCCCATTTCGTCGAGCCTGAATCAGAGGAAAGAAGAGAGGAAGAAGAAGGAGAAGGAGGGAAAGGGAGGAAGAGAGAGAGAGAGAGAGAGCAAACCTCAACCATTTTGAGCAATTCCAAAGCCTAAACCACTCCAAATCTCCTCCTCTTTCATAATCCTAGCTTTGTTTTGAGTGGGGAGCATTGTGGAGAGAGATATTACCTCTCAAAAATTCGGCCCTTTGGTGAAAATTGGGGTTTTGAGAGTTTCTACCTCCATTGAAGCTTGAGGAGCCATCAATCCTTGGTTGTGTGACCATTGGTGGTAAGATTCTAACCCTTGAACCTCATGATTCCTTGAAATTTGCATGAGTTAGGGTTTGTGAATAGTAAATTGGGATTTTTATGAAATGTAGTTGAATTAGCTATGTTCTAGGAAGAATGGAGTTTAGAGCATGTTGGGAAAAATGCTAGGAACGACATTTAATCGGTGGAAATGAGCCTAGATAGTCATTTGATAATCGTTCATAATATTGGAAAATTCATGCTTGGATTGGTTAGTATTCTAGCATGTTGAACAATTAGTGAGTTGAATGATTGATTGGATCCTTATGATGTCTAGGATTGAGACATTTGGACCAACCGTGAGTGATCAACCATTGGAGCAAGCTATGGAGCTTGAATAGCTCATTGGAATTGGTAAGCTCATACTTGAGTTGTGTTTTGAATTGATGGTTGATTGTGAAATACTCTTGGATGCAATGTGTTGATTGCATTACACCATGTGTAGGTGTTGGTTTTGGAGTAGAGTATTGTTGACATTGGTGAAGAACAAAGGTCGACTGAAGCATTGAGGTAAGCCTTCGGACCTTGGGTGTAATTCCCTTGACTGTTCCACCAAGCCCTGAAAGGGTAGAGGTTGTGATTGTGTATATAAATGCAATAAAATAGTGTAATGCTTTGTTATACGTATGTGTATGCATTTGGTGTGGCATAGGATGGTGTTTCCCTATGTTGGTATGTTGCATGACGATGCGTAAATCATACTTGGTAGTTAGCTGGCCAGTAGGACTATTTGCATCTGAGTTTCCTTAGGACAGCTTGAGAGCTCGAGGGATTTCTCCTGGAGATGTATTGCACTTTGCATAGATATGTATTTACTGCATTATTATTGTTATTGCTATTACACTGATATGGAACTGTGGGGTGGAGAGATGCTCCTAGGACCCCTGGTTTACTGGATATATTCGTATATCTCACCCCGTGTTGTGGGGACCCCCTTTCAGGTAAGGATGCTGCAGGAGCCTCTGGTGGCAAGTGGCCATATCTGGATTATGCATGATATATGGCATTTCTTTGAGTTTATGCATGCCTTTTGTAGTTGACATGTATAGGATTTTATTTTGAAAGCCCATGGTCATTTGTATATCTTGATTCATTGGATGAACTTAGCCTATGCTCATGCCTTTGGTTACACCTTTTGTTGATGGGAGCCAAGGGAATGATCATAATGTTTTGTAAGCTAAGTTCTATGATTTGTAAAGGATATGTAATGTAAATGATGCCTACTTGAAATTCAATATATGCATGCTTGTTATGTATTGAGTTGTTGAATTGGTTGGGCTGAAAATCAATTAGGTACCTAGTGCTAAATTGGGAAATGTTGAGAAAACAAATACATCATGTCCGGACCAATTTTCACACCCAATGTGATGGAATTGGACTTTGATGTCTCTATGGAAGTGGTAGACATTCCTCTTATCTTTCCATAGAGACCGAAATGGTGTAATTTGAGAGAGTATAGCTCAAATTATGAGTGAAAAACCATAGGTAGGTTAAATGACCTTGTTTTGGGTCACCCAGCCCTGTGGATGGCGCCTGGGGCGCCAAATTCACGCTTGGGGCGCCAAATTATGAGATCAGACAGTAGCATCCACGCTTGGGGCGCCAGATCCACGCTTGGGGCGCCAACTTTCTGTTTTCCCACGCTCTGAGCGTGGATCTCACGCTGCGGGCGCGGGGGTTCTGGAGGTTTCGCACCCTTTTCTTGGAAAATGCATAACTTTGGCTACGGTGCTCCGATTTGAGCGCGGTTTGAAGCCACGCGTAGCTAATGAAAAATACTATAACATAGTAGAAGATGGGAATCATAAAAGGAGTTTAGAATTAATTTGATAATTAAAGTGATGAAGACTTTTCACGACGTATTGTCAAGTATATTGGGAATATAACCTTTAGTTTTGTCCCACTATTCCGCGAAGTATGTATAGTTATGATCACGCACTTGGTTATTTGAATCCGGCTTGTATAAAAAGGAAAAATTTATCCGGTTTTCTAATTGAACCAATGTGATTGTAACTGCGCTTAATGCCGTACGCAATGATAACAATCCGGTTCTAGAACGGGGTGTTACATTTTATGGTATCAGAGCAGTTTCGTCGGAAATTGTTAAGTATGCTTAGTGTTTGATGCTTTATAGTTGTTTTAGTACTCTTGATGATTATTGCATTTGTGATCACTAAGTGTGGGCCTGATCAACTCACTTCTTTGTGTAACATGTGTAGTGACATGACGAGGAACCGAAACAACCCCGGACCATCAAACACCAATGCTCAGCCAGAACCTGTTTTGGCTGCTCTTGTGAGGCCTAGAAGTGGTCGTGGGGCAACGGGCGTACAGCCTGATCCCGTGGCTGAAGCTCTTGCAGCCGTTCAGAGGGAGTTGGCTGCTAGCAGGCAAGCCAATGAAAATCTGATGAAAACAAATGAAGACTCGCGGACTGCCTTGGCCGCAATGATGACTGAGCTGAGGACGTTGAGGGGTCCTAGGCCCGTGAACCGGCAACCCACTACTCCTCCTCACACTGCTACGCCTTCTCCACCTCCTTCACAGGAAGAGGGTGGAGTGGGTAACAATGAGGGTGAGGGTAGCCATCACTCCGGAAGTCGGAGTCATCACACTGAGGTTCGTCAACCTCAAGTTGAAAATGTCGGTGATCATGAAATGGAGGAAAGGAGATTAATGGCCTTCCGAAAGCATAAACCTCCTTCTTTTAAGGGAGGTTATGAGCCAATGGCGGCTGCAAAATGGCTCCAAGCGATGGAGAAAATATTCAGGGTGATGAGGTGCCCTGACGCAATGAAGTTGGCTTACTCTGTTTATATGCTGGAAGAGGAAGCAGAAGATTGGTGGACAAATACCGTGCAGCCATTAGAAGCTGAAGGTCGGGAGATCACATGGCGGTTATTCGAGACATTGTTCTTGGATAACTACTTCCCTAGAGAGGCTAGGGAACAAAAGCAGAATGAGTACAACGATCTCAAGCAAGGGTCGATGTCTATTGACCAATACTTTTCAAAATTCAATGAGTTGGTGAAATACGCCAACTATGGGCGAGCCTTACCCACTCCGGCTGAAATGACCTCCAAGTTCCAATGGGGTCTTAATGAGAAGATGTCTCGGAAGATGTCAAATTGTGACATCCGGGAGTTCAGTCGGTTTGTAAACCAGTGTAGAAAGGTGGAGGAAGTGTATAAGGTGTCCCAAACCAAGAAGTCTTCTGAGGCCCAGGCACCTAGTTCCCATAAAGCAACGGGTTCAGGTTATTGGAAGAACAGGAAGGTGCAAGGCAAGAAGCTGAATGCGAATAAGCCCTTTGACTTGTTCAAAAAACCCGGTACTCAGAAGAATTTTGTTGATAGAGGACCTCCTCCCAAGTGCAAGGGATGTGGCAAAGAGCATAGAGGTCCATGTGCTACTGGTGAGGTGATTTGCTTTAAATGTGGAAGATCCGGTCACTACTCCAGGCAGTGTCCTCAGAACGAAGCAAGGACTATGGCAGTTCAAGCTACTGCTGTTCCGGTCTCTGTTGTTCAACCTATGCTAGAGTCTCAGACGGTTGGTAGAGTATATACCATGGACCGTCAACAATCGGAGAAGGCTCCGAATCTAGTGAAAGGTACAATTTACATTGATAATATGGATGTTGAAGTGTTGTTTGATTCAGGAGCTACACACTCCTGTATGTCTGATTTTATGGCCGTTGGTCTAAATTTGCAAATGTATGACATTCGCCCTCCAATGAAAGTGGTTACAGCTACTGGAGAGGAGTGTTATACATCCGTGTTGTGTAAAGATGTCGAATTCAAATATGAAGGCCGAGATTACGTGCTGGATTTTATTTGTTTACCTATGATCAGCCTTCAAGTTATCTTGGGTATGGACTGGTTGTCAAAGAACTGTGCTATGATAGACTGTTGTGGTAAAAGGATTGTGCTTGATGCTGATGATTCTGCTACTAGTTCTTCCCCATATCTATCTGTGTTGCAGGTTAGAAAGGCTTTGAGGGTCGGGGCATTGGGATATGTCTTTGTGGGGGGTTTAGTAGGCGGAAGTCATGAGGAGATTGGCACTATTTCCGTGGTGAGGGAGTTTGTGGATGTGTTTCCAGATGAAATTCCACAACTTCCGCCTCATAGAGAGATTGAGTTCACGATTGATCTATTGCCTGGTGTGGGGCCTATCTCTCTGGCTCCGTATAGGATGTCACCACCGGAATTAGCCGAGTTAAAGAAACATATTGAAGAGCTTTCGGCTAAGCAGTTTATCCGGCCAAGTGTGTCCCCGTGGGGAGCACCAGTCATATTTGTTAAGAAGAAGGACGGTAGCATGAGATTGTGCACTGATTACCGTCAGTTGAATAAGGTTACAATTAAGAACAAGTATCCTCTCCCTCGCATAGATGATTTGCTTGATCAGTTGAGGGGTGCTTGTGTCTTCTCAAAGATTGATTTGAGGTCGGGTTATCATCAAATCCGAATTAGGCAGGAAGATATTCCGAAGACTGCCTTCCGATCTAGATATGGACATTATGAGTATCAAGTAATTCCATTTGGACTCACTAATGCTCCTGCGGTGTTTATGGATTACATGAATCGCATATTTAAGCCGTTTCTGGATCAATTCGTGATTGTGTTTATTGATGATATCCTGATATATTCCAAGAGTAAGGAAGAGCATGAAGGTCACTTGAGAACTGTGTTGCAAATTCTCAGAGAGAAACAGTTATATGCAAAGCCTTCTAAATGTGAATTTTGGCTTTCTCAAGTGCAATTTCTGGGTCACGTTATCTCTGCTGATGGAGTAGCGGTTGATCCTAGCAAGATAGAGGCAGTTGTTGATTGGGAAAGACCCAAGACAGTAACAGAAATAAGAAGTTTTCTGGGTTTGGCTGGTTATTACCGGAGATTCATTAAAGAATTTTCAGCCATGGTGTTGCCATTGACCCGTTTGACCCGAAAGGATACTCCATTTGTTTGGACACAAGAATGTGAAGAATGCTTCCAGAGCCTTAAGGAGAAATTGACGACCGCTCCGGTGTTAGTACTTCCCGACCCGGAAGGTGAGTTTGAGTTATACAGCGATGCTTCCAAAAAGGGATTGGGATGTGTGCTGATGCAAGATAGGCGGGTGGTAGCTTATGCATCGAGGCAATTGAAACCACATGAAGAAAATTATCCAACCCATGATCTTGAGCTTGCTGCAATTGTTTTTGGGTTGAAGCAGTGGAGGCATTTCTTGTATGGAATGCAATTTGCAATATTCAGCGATCACAAGAGTTTGAAATACTTGTTTGATCAAAAGGAGCTGAATATGAGACAACGACGGTGGACCGAGTTCCTAAAAGACTATGATTTTGAATTGAAATATCATCCTGGCAAGGCTAACGTTGTAGCTGATGCACTGAGCCGAAAATCCGTGAGTATATCAAGCATGATGATCAGAGATTATGATGTGATAGAGAGGTTCAGAGATATTCAATTATCTAAAATCTTTCCATGTAAAATTTGTGGCTTTGAAATCACGAGCATTGAGAATGAACTGATGACCAGAATCAAAGAAGCCCAGCTGCAAAATGAAAGTGCTAGACGACTAAAAGGTCAGAGTGGTGTATCCTGCAATGATGAGGGTGTACTACTATATCAGGGTCGTGTTGTAGTACCTAGGCAGTTGGCGGAGGAAGTAATGACAGAGGCTCATAAGGGTCATTTTACAGTTCATCCGGGAGCTACAAAGATGTATCAGGACCTAAAGATGAATTTCTGGTGGCCTGGTATGAAGAAAGATATTGCCGAATTTGTCTCTAAGTGTCTCATTTGTCAGAAGGTAAAGATTGAGCATCAAATCTGGTATGTTGCAACCTCTGGATGTTCCTGAATGGAAATGGGAGAGTATCTCCATGGATTTCGTAGTGGGATTGCCGCGAACACAGGCTAGTTATGATTCTATATGGGTGATTGTGGATAGATTGACGAAATCCGCACACTTTTTGCCAGTTCGGGTAGATTTCTCTGCGGAGAGATTGGCTAGGCTCTATGTGAAGGAGATTGTGAGGCTTCATGGGGTGCCTGAGA